AATCAAGGAGACAGTAGATTGCATTTAAATTTTTGAAAATCAATGTTGACTGACGGAACCAGAAGAGAGTTTCATAAGCAAGAAGTGCGTTTGGTTTGGTTTGTCTTATGGCATATCAACCTCAATGGGTTATTTAATCCCAACAAAATTTTTATTGTTGGTAATAGTTTTTTCCTTCAAAAATCTATTTCTGGTAATATTTTTTTCCTTTAAAAAATTTATTTCTGGTAATATTTTTTCTTCAAAAATGTATCACTGGCAATATTTTTTTCAAAAATGTATAGCTGGTAATATTTAAAAAAAAAAAAATGTATTGCTGGTAATAATTGTTTTACAAAGTATTTATGATATTAAAACCTATTTTTACATTTTCATAATGTTTTGACCCCAGTTTGGGGGGGGGGTAACTTTTTGCCCATAGCTGGGATCCTAATAGGTGTTACTACTCTGGGTCAGGGTGGACCTGGGATCACCAGCAATTAAGAGGTGGTTCTATGCTCCTCAAAACCTCCTGCTGTTGGACGTAGTTTATCGTCTTACCCAGGATGCAGATATAGTTTATTATCATACCCAGCATGGTGAGAAGTGCAATAGAAGAAACTGTTAGCATAGAACTTACAGTTACACATCTCGCCATTTCAACTGTAAGATGATGAGACTTTGTTGCTACTACTGTGCTTAAATTCATAAAGTCTAGGTACCACAGCAGAAAGTTTATCAGAAGTCTAGGTACCACAGCAGAAAGTTTATCAGAACAATTCCCCTGAAAGTATTTATAGAAAAGGCAAAGGGAAGCTACATTATGACGATAGAAAAGTGATTGAAGCCAAGTGAGAACAAAACAAGGTTACTGCTGGAACATTAAGTAGACATGGTAAGAATATTGGTCCTAAAAACCAAACACTAATTTTATTTCTAAGAGGAGTAGGTGCTGAAAAACCTTTTCGTCCAGCCCTTTTCCAAAGTTTGTATTCTTGTTTGGCCATTTAAAATACTAACTTTGGGAAGTTGATCAGTCTAAGAACTTTTTAGCACCCTCGTATAATATGCTGAATGATTGAAAACATTTCTGTGTATAATGAATGCATTTTTTCTAAACTTTGTTTTATTTATATATATATATATATATATATATATCAATTTACCCCAAGCAAGGCTGCTAAAATGCAAGGGCTACTCAGAGTGAAAGAGAATGAAAAGACCTTAGAAGGAACCTGAAACTCAATCGTAAACAGGAAAGAAGGGAGCATAAAATAATTTCAGGGGTTACAAGGCCAAGTTTGAAAAATGTGGGCCCATGAGAGGGCCCAGAAAATTTAGGACCTACAATATATATATATATATATATATATATATATATATATATGTGTGTGTGGGAGTATTTTGTAATTAATAATTATTATTTAAAATAAAATATTAAATTTATTATTGTTAAATATTAAATTAAATCTAAGCCATTAACATAAATATTTGTTTATTGTAATTTTTTCATTTGATCTATGCAAAATGGCTGTCTTTATTTTTCAATTTCTTAAAATTTAAAATTCATAATTTAAAGTTTAAATTAAGGTATGTTTTCACCAACTTGTCTTTCAATTTTGAAAAGCTAAATATCCTAAACAAAGAACTTCAAGGAAATGATTCCAAGCTTTTTTCCTGCAAGGAGGCAATTAATGGATTTAACAACTATTCTGGGAGATGAGAATTTGCATGCTTTCCTTCCTTAGCAAATATATCCACCGAGCTCCTTGATGATGACCTAACAATGTATGTTGATCACTTGAAGCAGTTGCATAATGATATGAAAACTCACTTCTCTGATCTACTCCAAATGACAGTGTTGCACTAGTTTGTGGATCCCTTCATTGCTGATGCAAGAACTTAAATTGGCATGAGGGACCATAAAAAGTTTGCATTGGATTGAAGGGGGCCATCACCAGAATAAGGTTGAAAAACATTGCTCTAGAGCACACACACCCACTGGCCGAAGGTAATTGATGAAGTCTGTAGTTGAATTAAATGTAATGTTGTGTATGAGATATTAAGTCTTGTCTTTTTCTTGGTAGTAGTGTATGACAATGTTACAAAAAATTTTCCATAAATTTATTTAAAAAAATTTTCAGCTCAAACCCATTCTGGTAACAGCAAGCAACCAAACAAACCACTGATTCGTTTACGTGTTGACTACAGTGGAGGTTTTGAACCTTTTTCTGCTTTAAGGTAAGTTTTCAAAGATTGTTCCAGTTAGATCAGTTTTATCTGTTTTGGATTAACTTTTCTAACAAGAGTGGGTTTCTAAAAAACCTTTAACTAAATAATCTTAATGTACAGTAATCATTTACCAAAATATATATCCATGCTAACTAGATTCCAGTAATTTTTCTCATTTGAAAGTATGGTTATAAATGCTGGATAAAAATATGAGCTTTTGTTTTTCATGTTTTTGCCAGAAAAGAAGTTTTCTGAATATAATGCCATTTGCCAGCTTTCATGAGGAAATTGAATCTTTGAAGTTATAAACTTCAAAACTGGTGTCATATGGTGCTTAATAATTGAATATGTTTCTTGCAATTTCCATGATTCTAAAATACTCTTAGAAATTCCACTATTGTATCATTAAATATTTTAGCTTAACAACTTTAACAAAATATAGCAAACAATTGTTATTATCATTTTATAGCCTATTGTTGTTAATTCTCTCTTTGTATCCTGACTACCTGACTAAGTATATTTCGGTTTATGGCCACATCACATTGAAACACTGGTTCCCGTATGATCACTGAAGTTAAGCAACATTAAGCTTGGTCAGTATCTAGATGGGTGACTACTTGGGAATACCAAATGCTGTAAGCTTGGATATGCCAGTGGTTTAATAGATAATGTCTTGGAATTTTTAATTAGAGAGCTGAGTTTCAATTCCTGTGGGGTTTGTTATATTCACTTATACTCAAATACCCTTGGGAAAAAGGTATGAATTCACCTCTTCTCCCTCCAGCTATGGGTTAATTAGCAAGACTTGTATCACTAAACTATTATTACCTCCCCCGTCCCAATTTTTACAATCTAAAAATATTTTCTAACTTTAAATAACCTGCAAAGGGTTGATAAACTGTAAAAAATAAATCAATCAATCAATCATTCATTGAAATGCTGGTGCATAACTATGGTTTTTGCACCAAAACCCAATTTCCTTCTCCTCCTGGAGAATATATTTTTTACTTTCTCTCTGTGTAGATATTAATTTCTGAATCCGTCAATCAAAGTATATTTCATTAATGAAGGATAATTATCAATGAAACTTGAATAACGCTGTAGAAGATACATTAGATATGTAGAATTTATAGAAGATGAAAATAATATATGCCCATTTAACACTTCCATTCCTTTCTATTTGCCTCCTTTTTTCTCCCCCATTTCCATTTCACTGAAGCAGACATTAAATGCCTGATAGTGTTATCACTTCCTCTATCTTCCCTTTCTTTCTTATTATCATGTATGCTTTCTTTTTCTTGCTAAAATGCATCTCCATTATATCTTTTTCTCCCATTTTTCTTTGCAATCAAAATGGAATGTTTTATTAATTATATGGGGCAATGGCAAGGCATAACAAATATGTTAATTTACTAATGGAGGAACGAGCAGAATTATAATATGACTGAGAGCAGACATTTCAATCTACCATTTTCACTACTTGTAAGACACAAGCTCTAATCCCTACCTACCCACACTAAAATGTGTGTAGACAGAAGTATGATGTTATTTTCATGTTATATAAAGATCCACTTAAAGAATTAAATAATTTGATACAATAATATTTTGCTTGTAGGATTTATTCAAGATTTTTACTTCTGTAGATTTGGTCAAAAGTTTGTTGATAAAGTTGCCAACCCGAAAGAGATAATTACTTTCCACAGAAAGAAAGCAACAGTTACAGATAAAAAGAGCATTATATTTGGTAAGTAACATCACACTTCATTTCACAACAAAGTATGCTTTTGTATATTTACTTGCTTTTATATTTGTATGCATTGTGTTGGCCCAAAAATTCATTTAGTTTATTAAATGGCAATTTTTTTATTTAATGCATTAAACAACATATTTTCCCTGAATATTTATCTAAGCAAAGAACTGTTCAAAATGCCTCTTGTGGTCTTCCAACAAATTGAAATATCTTCCTGATATCAGTTTAAATTGACACATTCTTTTTTTTTTTTCCTTGTATCCAAACTATAATTTTGGAAAGTGAAAATTTATCTGGAATAAGTTGGATTGTCTGGTCATCAAATAAATATGTGGTTGAACATTATCTTGTTGGAATATTACACATTTTCTCTTAACTATTTCAGTATGCATTTTATTACTGCTATCATTTCATCTAATTATGAGCAGTACTTGTTTGATTCAGTCGTTTGGTTCTCTGAAAATTTCTCATATTAGATTACTTTATTTGAAACTTACTATTTATAGCATTACCTTTGAGTGAAAACTGACCTTTGCTGTGGTTAGTGGTAGTTATCCCACAATCTCTTGCATTACACATTGTTATAAAATATCCACTTTTCATCACCTGTCACAGTTTTAAAAAATGAAAACAGAATGTTCAATAAGTCCCAGTAGGTTTTTTCACATGTGGAAACTACACATAACCAAGTTTGTGCAAATGATTTTCAAATGTCTTGAATTGATTGACATCAATTTCAACCAGTTAAGCAAACTATTCAGTGAGAAGTCTCCAGCATAATTTTTCACAAATCACATTTTGACAAAAGTGTGTGGCAACTGTACTGTATGGATTTTCCTATATTATAATGAAAGACCAAACAAACCTGGTGATATCATGCAGTATCACCAGGGTGAGCAGTAATATAATTGTGTTTTATCTTTGAGGCTATGTCTGAAACCAAGAGATTTGATGAAGGCTTTGTTGGAGGAACTGGTGCCTTTTTCACAGCAGTAGTTATATTAGATTATATATTTATGAGGAGGTGCTAAAAAGTTTTCATCTTGATCCAGAAGGAACACCAACAAAATCCTCAGCGTTGGTCATTTGATCAGATTTTGGGAATTGGGTTGGGCTGAGAACTTTTCATCACTCATATATTTATACACTCTTTATAAACATATGCCTATTTTTTATGCAATATTTGTGAGCTGTTATTAATGTTTGATCTGATATTGCATATATTTAGTAGGTAAGTTTTTTTTTTCTATTGTAATTATTAATCAGGTTTTAAATGATGAATATTGTATAATCATATAATTTGAAAGTTTTGTGTTTTTCTCTTCTACTTTGACAGAATAACCATTATGAATCTGGAAAAAAATTAAATGAAAGTTTATGCAAAAAATTGTATATTACAATATAGGTTACAGTAAGTGATCTTCTGCAATAGTGGCAATAATAGAAAAATATTGAATTTTCCTGTGTTGTGGTTGACAGTATGTTTGACATTGAATAGAAAGAGAGGGGTGAGGTCAAACAAGGGAAAAAGGTTCCCTTATTTCAAATTAACAACTTCCAGTCAGGGAAGAAGAACTGCTGCATGACTGCTTTGCTTTACTGTTCATATATAAGAATTCCCTGGCCAAATCCACATCAACACCTAGTGTTGTGTACTTAGTTATGTGATTCAATGAAATGTTGTGTCTTCCTTTAATCATGCTACATTACTTACTTTTTTGATTGTCAGCTATTATGCTCTTTGGTCAAGCCATGTTGTTGAATATATTACAATAGATAGATAACAGAACTTAGTGTTGAGTCATTTATGACTGAGTCAATTATTAGGTCATAATATATTTAAAGATAGTAATATTATCATCAAGGTTTTCATATAACTTAGATGTTTACCACAATTTATTGTCCCATATAAAAGGGGCAAAATGCATCATTTTATTTATAATAAATAACAAAAGTACAGTTTTGTTCAACTTATATTGATTATAACTTAATATATGCAAATGCATTCCTGTTTACATATTGTACAGATATAAAGTATAGTGTTAATCTTGATATGAGTTATGAGATTGGAATTTTTTAATAAGACAAAAGTTGTTATTAATTATTGAATATTAATTTTTTCATCTTAATTTCAATTACTTTTTATCAATTCTCAGACTTATTCTATGGTCATTAGTAAGCAGCATGATTGTTTGAAAACTGCTATAAAAGGCAACTGAGATTAAGACTGAATAGATATTAGTTTAAAAAATGTAATAATTAACATTGCTTCATCCAAGAAATTCAAAAAATATTACTATTAAATCAGAATAATGCCTGGATGTTTTGTTCAAATGATAATCATAATGTAAGGAGTTTCTCATAATGCTCTTCAAAATTCCACATTGCAACATAGTTGTTATAACATTAATGAATCTAATTATATTTCCTACATTTTAATCAGCCTATTATAAATGTGCTTGTCCCTGCCCTTGTTAGTACATCCTGTTAATACCTCATAAATAATATTCTATTTTGATTACATGGAAAGAAGCGAAAAGACACTATTTGATTTCAGTAGGAAATGAAAGGAAGAAGGAAAGATAGAAGTAGAGAGAGAGAGAGAATTGGATTAAGCTAAGAACAGATACTACACTTTGATCTTAGTCAAAAGGCTGAGAAATGTTCCATTTTTCAGACACACATTGTTGAATGATGGAAACCTAGTAAGGTAATCGTCAAATATAAAGTTATCTCTATCTATAAAAGGCAGGGTGTGTGTGTGTGTGTGTGTAACGAATGCACGGCCGCAATTTTCGACAGATTTGCACCAAAATTTACATGCACATGCTCCAAGTTAGTGGGAAGGCCAACACTGACTTTGCATTTCCCGACTCACATCAATAGTGGAAATAATCGATTTTTTCATGCTTCTATGGCAGTTTTCATGTAGTTTGTGGCCATTTGTACTGGCCAGAGTGAGAGCCAATAGCTGGCTGCCACGAATAGGCAGGAAGATTCTATTGGTCAGCGTGAGAGCCAACAGCTGACTGACACGAATGTTAATTAGCATGCTAGCATGCAAAAAAATTGATAGCTGCATTCATCACAAGTGGGAAAATTTTAAATCTGCATGGCCCTTTACTCCAATTGGCTCATTCACTTGCTTAAACTCAACATTGATTCTGATTCTGCAGAAGTGGGTTGGGTGTGAAAATGTATTTGTTGTTAACATTCTTTTATCATTCAGTTTTTCCAGTTACGAGTCCTTTTTTAAAGCTGATCGTTTTGTGTTCATTTTGTTTAGTTCTTTTCGTAACAGATTTAATGTTTAGTATAGAGCTTAAAAAAAATTTGCAGTGTGAAATAAGCAAGAAGTAAGGCATGTAGCAACATCAGCACGGCAAAGGGCACTCCTTTAAAGGCAAGGAAGAGCAAAAATATTTTAAGTCAAGTGATAGCGATTGCTGTATGAGTCATACGATTTTTCAATCAAGCACGGGCAATGTCGGGCCATGCTGCTAGTTGTAAATAAAATACACATCAGAGACATTACTTGGTTTCAGTGAGAAAATGAACGAAAGAAAGAAAGGAAATAGAAGTGTTTAACAGCAATTTCACTGAAATGGAAAAAGTTGTGTATTGTGAATTTTTTCATTTGTGCCCACTTCTTAAAATAATAACCAGCATTCATAATATTGTAACCTATGGACGGTTACTGAATAGAATAATCAAATAAAGGTTGGTAATGAACATTAATACTTAGGACAAGAACAACACATATAAGATTCACCAGTGGTGTATAGAAGTAGTAGTCAACTGCTAGAAATGGGCCAAGTGAATTCCACAATGAATCTCCAACTGCAGACCAACATACAGTATTTACTACCATATTTATGTGAATGGGGACATACCCATTATTGTCCGTAGGTACGCTACAACACATATTTATAATTGTTATTCCAATATTTTATTAAAGTTGTTAAACTCAAATATTTAATGATGCAATAGGGGAATTTCTATTGATATTTTATTGTAGAACTTGTCACAAACTTACTAACTCATTAACTTAAGAATTAAGATCCATCAGAATATTAAAATAGGAAATCCATTAAATTTTTATAGGTCTTTCTAGTCATTATTATTATTGCTTATTTTGGTGTATGTTTATCAACTTAGGGTACTGTGCAAATGCATTTCTACTTTGAAATCTGTCATCTGTAATAAGTTCTGGTCATAGTGTTTTCAATAACTATTTCTAGTAACAATCAAACAGTTGCACCTTCACAGTTTAATGTGATGTCAATGTATTGTTTTATGTTTGCAAGAAGAGGATAGTTGTGTGTATGTGTGCAAAGGAATTTATATAAGCATGATCTTCTTTTAATTTTTCAGATAGCAAAGCATTATCTGATTTCAAACCTGAAACTCTTGATTCTGCTCGAGTGGAGGATATTGTGCACAGTCTCTTATCCAATGGTGAAATGGTAGGTTGCTTTGTCTAAAATGTTATCATGTCACTAAAACAAAAAGTAAATGCTATAAATTTAAAGCTTTCAGTATTGACTTAAGCTAAAAATAAAGACTGGTACTTGATTTTTTTTTTCAGTTTGAAACTGTTTAAAGTATAAATCCAATCATGAAATGAGAAGTTATAAATTTTAAGAGAAATTCCTTTATATAAAGTAGTTTTTGCCGTAGTGGTCTAAAGCACGTCCAATCAGATAGTGGTTTCCCTTACAAGTGGAGTGCAGGTTCAAACTCTGTAGGAGGACACAATTTTTTAATTAACACTCAAATTCACAGGCTTGTAGATATAATTTACACTTTTTAAAAATAGGCACCTACTCAAATGCATGTACCCAGTAAATATAACCTTTAAGTAATATATATGTGTGTGCATGTGTTTGTTTGGTAATTGAATAACAAAACAAAAATAACAAATTTTGTCCTCCAAAAGGACTTCATCAAATTAATATTTTATTTATATATATATATATATATATATATATATATATATATATATATATATATATAAGATATATATATATAAAAGAGGGTGAAAATGTAAGCAAAAACATTAGTTATAATTATGCAGCAAGAGGAAACACAGAACATGTAGGGATACTGAACTTGAAATTTTAAATTACTTGTGTCCAATGTGGCTAGACGTACAACTTAGCTTCCTAACGCTTTTGTTTTTATTGCTGTTTTTAAATATCTCACATTGTGATAGCAGTAAATTTGTTAAGAAAGGTGAAATGTCGTAAGACCCTAGATACAAATTTAAGGAATCAATGCACTTTCTGTGAATTTTTGCTTTAGTAAATTACTTTCTCTTTTAATTTAGACTTGTGATTGAATTCATTATTGTGTTGTTTTGTAAAAGTTCTCTTTTGTGTTCATATATTCTTTTATTCAAATTCCTGGAACTATCACACATGTATTACCTGTGACATTACAGTTTATCATAATTTATAGTATAAATACCTGCTTCAGGTTTATGTTGTTATTATTTTGTCTTACATTAATTGCATTTCTTATTGTTTTAAAAATAGTTGTAACAAACTTTATATTAAGTTTAGATGAATTCTTTTCAATTGTAGTTGTGACTGGGTTGTAGGTAGCGCTTTATGTGTCTAGTTTTATTAAGATTATTTATGTTTTTTCTTTTTCTGTTATAAATTTGATGAACTTTCCTCTTTGCATTATGTATGAAATAATTAGGATATTGGAGGAGTTTAAAAGTATTTTCAGTGTATTTCTTTTGTAAATGTTGAGGTTTAAAAATTCTTAAATTGAAAGCGATAATTAATTCACATTTTAAAATATTTTTGAAGGATGAATTGCACTGCATAAATTTTTCTATTTTGTTATTCAGTTACTTACCATTAGTCTGATATATAGAATTTATATATCATATTTCTCCTGTATATGATGATATATCTCACTATGGTTGATTTGTGATGCTGTTTGGTTTGAGAAAGTGATCCTTGTGTGCAACTCCTTTGGAAAGGGTCTGAGGACCTTACCATGTGTTGACCCAAGCCTTCTGAGTGAAATTGGGTAGACTGGATTGTTTGTTGGTGGTTGTGCTAATACAAAGTCACAAGTCATCATAATTGAGAGCTTGGGAATGGTGGCCTTGTTTAAACTGTTGATCATACCAGATGATGTGTTCTCTCCCATAAACTGCTCAGATGAGTTGCAATATAAACCACAGATAGGCTCTGTGGGTGTTGAACAAACACAAATGTGCCTGCAACAGGAATTGGTTAGTCACCCTAGCTAACTAGCATACTTGGATACAAATAGTCAGCCATTACTATATATATATATATATATATATATATATATATATTATACCAACTTATTACTATGGATATGAGTGATACAAGGTCACAATTTTGATTGGCCTGCCAATGAGAGAAGGACTAGATGGAGCTTCTTGTCTTCCCCTCCGATACTTATGACATGGAGCCATTATTTTAATTGGACCATCAATCATATTGGGTTGGGGGGGGGGATTTCCTTCCTCCTCTTCAAGGTGTATGACACAAGATCATTGGTCAAGCATTATTATAGGCTGGCCAATCAGAGCAGTGCAATTGAGGTTTGCACCTCCATAAAAGCAGTTGCCGAAATAGCAGAAGTATGGTTGAACTGGTCTCGGCGCTCTTAGACCAACACTCCCCCTGACAGATGACCTGATGCCTCAATCAAACAGCTAGAGTTCTTTTCTCTGCACCACTTTTTAAATTCCCTTGATCAGCTGCCTTCAATTAAATAGTTCAGTGACTCTGAGCTGTTTATCGATAACTGCAACCACCAGTCAACCTCTTCCTCCCAGCTTAAAAATTCTTTATACAGGGAAACTTCTTCAAATTCCTTTTGTTTATGTATTCATTATATTAATCCTATTGCCATAAATAAAAGTTGTTATTTTTACCTTTGTTAATGAGTGTTGTTGAAGTTAATTATGTTTACTGGCAACACTGGTGACTTTAGTCTTTCACAATATGGCCAGGACAGAGAGGAGTCAAGCATGATCTTTGGCAGTTCTTTACCAATATTCCTGTGGATACTGAAACACAACATGGGGACACAGGATTGGTGCAGAGTGGACTCACTGGAGACAGACCAATGGACATAGACCAAAGTAAGAGTGTCATTCAGTGAAGCACACAGCAACAGGGCCACACAGACTGCAGTATAGTGTGACCTCAGGGTTGCCCACTGGAAGTGCTTGTGGGACACCTTTCCATATGCAGCATGGCACTGCAAGAACCTCAATATTACGTAATTGTTGACCAGAGCAGCCTCTCTAGAGCTCATAAAGTTTGGGCTCCTAACTACCAGTTGGGATGCAGCAATCAGAAATCTGCCAACCCATTAGCCACCATCCAGTCATATCACCAAAAATTCATAACAGTCACCCCTTATTAAGGCCTCAGAAGAAGGAAACCTGAAACCTTAAGCAGGAAACAAGCAATAAGCCTTTACTCCAGTTCAAGAGAAAGGGAAGGAGTATGGACTGGGTGATAGACCTTTTATAAATTGGTAAATGATAAATATTGCAATGCATTAGTTTAATACAATCGTATTAATTGTTAGAATGTAATATAAAATTATTCTTGTAAATACACAATCTAATAAATAAATAGTGTTTAATATTTTTGTTGTAAATTCTCAAGAACAAAAAAATGTATAAATTCACTTTCTTCATATGCTTAGGTTTTATTACATCCCTTTTTAAAACAATAAATATTGTTGAGGAGTGAAGGTAGTTAAAATAATAGTGGTGACAAGGAAAAAAAACCATCCTTTGGACACACCATTTTTTTGCACAAAGGTTTGCCAAAAACTTTTTATTGAATACAATAGCATCATAAAAACAATATTAAAAAATTGGTAAGGAAAAATTATCTGTATGACAGAAATTTATTTTAATTAATTATGAAATTTAGAAAATGATTTTTATTTATAATTATATTATGGTGAGATAGTCTATCAGGTTGTATTTCAGTTATGAATTTTTAAAAACTTTCATTTCTTGCAATACCTTGTTTCTGCCTGAATTTCTGGGATGAGGAGTTAGCATCTGTTACATGTGGACTATTGTCCTCATCTTATCACAAAAATGAAGAAGACAACTACCTGCTTGTAAGTAATGAAGACAATTTTCAAGTTGAATTAGAATATTTTGCTTCTAAAAAATGAAGCAATATACTCAAGAAATTTGTTGTAGTTTAGTTACTAACTATAGAAACATTTACTTTAAATTATTAACCAGAAAGATTTACATTCATCTCTAAAATTTCTTGTAAGGAAATCAATTTTCATGTATTTCTTTGCTTAACTTGTTTCTCTGTGATGTTGACTTAAAGGTGATAGTTTTGTTGTTTTCATGTTTTTAGCCAATATTCTTAATATTCTGCATCTTTTCTCTCTGTTTACATTTGCAAAACCAACTCAAAACACTTTTTGCAACATTCTTAAAGCCAGTTTTCAATTTCCTTTTTTCATTATTCTTTGATCTGTTCAACTTTCTTTGCCATTTTCAACATTATTTTCCTATCATTCAATAACTTTACCATATCTTGTTTCTCTTTTGAGGTTATTTTTTCTTTCAACCCATGACAATCTTTATTTACCTGAAATTAAAAAAAAGTAAACATCAATAACTCTACTATTTGTTTGCAATATGATGTAGAAGCCTTGAGTTGCATAATAAAATCAGACGGCACCAAACAGGCTTGCAGCCATATCATGTTGAAACACTGGTTCTTGTATGATCATCAAAGTTCAGCCACATTTAGCCTGGTCAGTACCTAGATGAGTGACCTCTTAGGAATACCAGGTGCCATAAATTTGGATGTGCAGGTGGTGTAATGGATAATAGCTTGGAATTAGAAATCAGAGAGCTGAGTTCCAATTGCAGTTGTGTTTGTTATATTCACATATGTGCAAATAGCCTTGGTAAAGGTATGAATCCACCTCTTCTCCTTCCCCCAGCTATGGGTTAATTAGTAGGACTTGCATCAGTAAATCATTATTATCTACAAAAAACTTTTGTGATCTAAATGTTTTTTCTCGCTTTAAATAACCTGCAGGGGGTTGATCGCACCACTAAATAAGTTATTGTAAGTATTTCTAATAAAAACATATTATGATCTGAAATCCACATTGCATATTTATCATATAAATATATCCTGAAAATTTCACCAATGTTAATTGGTTAATAGCAATTTTATTGTAAAAACATTGACTTACATAATAAAATTTTACATTGTGCACATATATGTGTGTGTGTGTGTGTGTCACATTGTGCATATATGTGTGTGTGTGTGTGTGTATGCCAAGGGTTTTAACAAGAAAAAATTCTTAGAAAATGATTTTATTTTAATGTAGATTTCAAAGAAAATACTTTTTTGTTATTTTCACAGAGCCATAAGCTTCAGCTTTTAACTGAGAAAGGTCTTGGAAATGCAGTACGAGAGTTTGTTGACAAGGAAGAAAAGGATGCTATTTGTGAACTTGTGAAATGTCAACTCAAGAAAACACAGGTGAATATATTAGAAATGATATGATTTATGTGACTATCAATATTAAATGATTGGCTTTTAAATTATTAAGCAAAGAACAAAAGACACCCTTTTTGAATTGTGCAAAATTAATTGAATTTAATAGCAAAAAAAAAGATCATCAACATTTTCTTTCATATTAATTTGACTTTTAAATATTAATCTTCAAAAATGTATTTAAAAGTTCTTGATCTGACCAAGAAGCTTTTAAAATACAGAATACAACTAAGTCGCGTTATTTAAGTTAAGCATTGTTCTCTGCTGTTAAGGCCTTACACGTGTGAAGAAGTTAATTTGATTTTTCAATTTCAACTGAGAAGGATACCTACAAATATTAGTATCATCTTATGAAATTTATATGATCTTATTTTTATATTAATCTCAGTTATGACATTTTTCCATAAATGAAATATCAAAATTAATAATAAAATGAGTGGAGATACAAATAACACAGTAAAATGTAATAAATGTACATAAAATTATAATATTTTATGTACGCTTCTGATAAAATTTCATAAGAAAGGTACCTATGAATTAATTAGATACCTTTCTTATGAAATATGAAATTTAATCTCACTCTCAACAGTCTTATTTTAATTTCTTTATATTTTCAAAAAAACATCGTAAACATAAAGTGAAAGCTAAATACAAAAAAAAAATTAGAGCACTGAAAGTTTTCCTTAAAAATAACGAGGTAAATAATTTGTTCACTTAAATTTAAATAATTTTCACTTCTCTCATAGAATAAATTATCCTCATGTAATTTGTTAATGTTATTCATCACCTGTCAAGTGATGCGAAATGTTATGACCTGCTTTGTTTTATTTTCAAACTACACCTTTTCGGTGCAGAAACTAAATAATGCTTGTTTCAAAATATTTTAAATAAACATTAAAATTTCTGATTTTCTTAAAATAAGTTTTGAAAAAATTATAATTGATTTTTAAAAGAATTTCAAACCAAGATTTTCATTTTTTTTTTTTTTTATAAAATGGAAAAAATGGTTGCCATGATTGATTATCTGTCAATTTTGCTGACTCAAAAAAACAAGATTTTTAACGAAAATTTCAGATGTGCTAGGAACGATTAAAAAATGTAAAAAAATATCCCCAAAATACTTTGATCTTTCCTCTTAATAATAACATAAACATTTAGATGATAAAATTTTGTTTTCGTCAAGTTTGGCATTTTTTTCATCATGCTGTGCTTTTTTTTAGCGATCTCATGGAGGTACCTAGGTTAAAAGGAATCATTTGATTATACTGTATGAATATGAAATCTGTCTGGAAAGTAACCAGCCATTGGGAATATCTTGAGAACTAATTGCATTTAATTAACTTGGCAGCCAATCAGAACAGTCCTTACTGCATGTCACTTGTGTGATACTAAAACAATGTAAGTGCATTTTTGTGAAATAAGAAACAACACCTTAAAAGATAAAAAATATTCAGAATAAAAATACATGAGATGATTTTTTTTTTTAAATTGGGGGTCTACCTTGATAAAAAAGTCTTTGTATTTCATTGACATGGGCTTACATGGGCAACTGTGATATAACATTGAGTAAGCTTATGTACTGTGTCACATTTCTACCTCACCACCCCAGTCTAAATTTATCTCCTTGAAATTTCTGGTTTATCTCAAAATTAAAATCAATGTTGAAAAGAAAGATTGTAGGTCATGGATGAGATTAAAGAGAATGTAATGAGACAACAGATGGCAATTCTAAAACAGGACTTTCCAAATTATTTTTAAAAAAATGTGATAAGTGATTGAGGTCCAAGCATACCATATAAGAAGAGAAAAACTACTGTATAAGGTACACTCTATAAGGAAAGAAAAAGTTTACCTTAAAATATAAGGTTTACTAAAATGGTTATATAGGGTACTTTGAAAAGGACTAAAGAATTATTGTCGTAGTATTAAATATATTGAAAGGATGGATACTTTCTGGACAGACCTTATATTTTGCTGTGTATTATGTTCAATATAATTTTGAATATCTTAACCAGTTGTGCAGCCTTGATGTTACTTGTCAACTAATCAGAGAGGACCATACCGCACATGCATGAACAGACACTTTCTGATGAGGTTACTCATTGGACAGTGAGAAGCCATTGAGTGAGCTTGTGTAGAGTGTGAATGTTACATTTACAATGTCTAGTGTGTTGATGCGTAGTTTCACATTGTCATTTTTAGTAAAATATCAATTCACCCAGGCCTGTTCACCCAACTTATGACTGTCCTGATTTGGCTCCCTATGATTTTTGCTTATTACCCTTCAAAAAGTAGAGATTTCAGACAATAGATGAAGTTAAGGAGATAATTGAGGTAATTGATGGCTAAGGTACTATTTCCCTGGTGAAATGGCTGGATAATTTCTACAGGCAGTACTCGAACCAATGAAAAAGAAGAGAAATATGATTGTATTACATTCAGTATAATTTCAATACAGGAAAGAACTGAAATAATTTTTTCTTTTTTGTTTTAATGTTAACAGACTTTCCAGTTTAAAATCAGCTGCAGACATTTTACCATTTTTAGTAATTAAAACTTTTGTGTCTTGACTGTTTCAGAAATATTTGAACCAACACTCTGCTAATGAAGATAATGTTGAAACTTTGGTGCATCAGTATAAAGAAGAACGTACAAAGAAAAAAAATGAGGATGAAGGGAAGGAATCCCTCAAAGAATCTGAATCCCTATACAGCAAAAGTACACAGAATGTAACTGCAGATGATGTGACCAGTTTTTTAAATTCTGATGATGATGATTTTAACTTAGCCTTTGATTTGGACCTAACCAAAAATAAAAAATCTACACCCTCCAAGAATGCTAACACTCGTATGATCAGTGACTCTGATTCAGATGAGAGCTCATCTATAATCAACCAGAAGAAGGTAACCACCCGTGGAAGAGGCCGTGGCAGAGGAGCAAGAGGCTCTGGTAGAGGCCGAGGAGCTAGGACCAAGGCCCCTGTTGTAACTGGTGATATAGGCAGTTACTTTACACAGTCACCCTCATCAAAGCGGGCTGCTTCTCCAACCTGCAGGTATGTGGATTAAATTTGATACCAAACAGACTTTATACATGATAGTATCTAAATCATACAAGGTGAATATTGTTTCTTGGAATAACTGCTACAAATATATCTTAACAAAATATGCAATATTTTTTACCATATAAAGCATACCATATAAAAAGAGAAAAACTACTGTATAAGGTACACTCTATAAGGAAAGAAAAATTAAAACTATTATGAAACATGTACCTTAAAAATACAGTACACTAAAAGTATTATATAGAGTGTACCTTAAAATATAAGGTATACTAAAATGATTATATAGAGCATATGTTAAAACTGTTTTTCAAACTGTGGGTCCCAACCCTTCAGTGGGTCACAAGATAAATAAAATGGGTCACAACAAAAAAGAAAGAAAGAAAAAATATGCAAATGAGAGCAAAGTGCAGAATATAAACCTGTAAATGTTGCACAATAATGGAAACAGGCCTCAATGTTTGATCTGTAATGATGTTCTTGAAAAACTGCAAAGGGATTAAAAGTGATGGGGCAGTGAATAAGACTGGAAAAAATAACGGTGATATTAAAAGAATTTTGGATGCAGCTGATAACAATGCAATTTGGAATCACTGTTTTATACGTAACCTATTTTATAACATACCTATTTTGATCATTTAGAATTTCTGTTCTTTTAGAAACCTACATTCCTGAATTAAATCATTTATCATATTTTCTGATTCATCCCATGATTTTAATATTCCATTTATATTTATTCCCATTCTTTCTCCAAGTCATTTTCCAGAAGATACTTTCAAAGTTTGCTGCATTATTTTTGGTGAAACCACATCCTCCTTCCTTTTTCAATTTTTATCTGTATTTTTATCTAGTCACATTACTGCAATACTGTTGTACTATGTTCTCCATAACTCTGATATAGTTTTTGTTCATACCCTGCTCTAGACTGGCATTTGTCTACTGAGATTTATATATATTTGATAGTAATGTAATAGTGTGATATTTGCTAAAGTCTTTATTATTTCCATTTCCACATGCTCTGGGAAATAGTTGTGGCATAGTAACCAGATCTTTCAAAGGTCTGTTACTATGCTATCTTTGACTGGTGCTTTTCTGCAGTTCACATTTGGAAATAATAAATCATAATCTCTGGAATGTCACTATTATCTAGAAGAGTAAATTTTTGTGATGTTTTCATTTTTGAAATGCAGGTTTGTATGGTATTCCTCAGTGAAGTTGTCCCTATATTCTGTATTTTCTATTATCTTTCAATGTAAGCAATTGCTGTTTGTCTATGTGGGTTGTGGATCAACAAAGTTTTCCCATTTTGATTTTTTCTACTGCTTTCCAGGTTCATCTTAGTATATACAATCATATTTCTCTTCTTTTTCATTGGTTCGAGTACTGCCTGAGTATATTTTTATTGCTATGTCCATTAGTTGTTACCTCTACTGCTTCTTTAATTATAGTTGTCAATTTATTATTTATATTTTGTTATTTTTATTCCACAATGCTTCCAATTTTTACCAGAAATTTACTGATGTTTTGCCCTTCTTCTATGTATTGTGTCCCTTCAGGACATTGGCAATCATGGTGCTTCACAATTTCCTATCCTTTGTAATCTCTCCTAAACCTTGTTCCACCATTAATTTACTCAAGCTTGCTAGGTAGGTTATGTGTTGTTATTATGTCCCTCTTGCCTTCAATCTGTCCTATGAGTATCAGATTTTCCAAGCCCTCTTTCCTTATTATGTACCCTAGAAATTTCAACTGTCTCTTACTGATGTGAAGTGTCCTTTTTGTTTCTATTTACTCAAAAAATTGTTGCTCACATTTGGTCCATAGTATTCTCGCCATCCTTCTGTAGAACCACATTTCTGTTGCTTCGAGTATCTTCAGGGAAGAGATTGTCCAGCATTCAGTGATGTAATATCAATCTTTTCCCCTTATTAGGATATTTATTTTGGTTTGATTCATTTTGTTTCTCTCAATTTTAAAGTTTAATTTTACTCTGCAAGGTAAGATTTTATGAGTATTTTTTTTTTCTGTATTAACTTTCTTTAAGATTGTTATATCTTTAATAGTATTGACTTTGTTAGGAATTGTGAAGTCAGTTTCATTTTTTTTGTATTTCAAGTTTGGCTTTTCCAAGACCCGATATGGCCTATTCCTTTTTTTTTATTTTTTGTCTTTCTGAAAAGTTAATCAACATTTAGCTTCTCATTTATTTCAAATTTTCTTACACTAGATTGTCCCTTTTTTGTTGTATCTACATTTGCATTGAAACAACCCAGTGGGTTCCTCTGCCTATGCTCCTGGTATCATTATAAAACTCTTCAGTTTTATCTTCTAAACTTTTTGATATTATTGATTATTTTTAGAGTGCATGATCTTTTGTATAATCTGATTACTATACAAACTGCTCTGATATACTGTCAAAACTTTCTACATTGACTACAATATCTCTATTCAGTAAAAATCATAAACCACTAAACTTGTTATTCTCTTTTCTCTTGATTGTTATTTATGTTCATCTAAAAGAGATTTTCTCTTCTGTGAGACTCACTAATTTATAACACAGCCTAAGTGATGTTCAGTTCTATCATTAGTTGGTCAAGTTTGTAGTCTTCACCTATACTTTGATTATTATGTGTAGTTATCTTAGAGAACCATTTTTCTGCTCTCATCACCATGGCTGATAGTAACCTCCAGGAGAACAAATTATTTCACTTTCCACTGACATGGAGTGGAGTGATTATCAAATCAATTGCTAGGTCTACTGTGAGGAAAGTTAGTTTACTATGTTGTGCTAGACAATTTTCCCTGCATTGAATATTGCTGTCACATCTGTTTAGGTGCTCCTGTTATATATCTAGAGATTCTTGACAAAATCCAAAGAAGAATCTGCAATGTTATCAGTTCTGACCTGGCATCTTGGCTTCTTTCACTTTCCCACTGCTGTAATGTAGCTTTCCTATATCTCTTCTGTAAATATTTTTACAGTAATTGTTTTGATGAGCTTTCTTTGACTTCATGAATTTAAGCATAGTACTAGATTGGCAGCTAGGTCTCATCATTTTATTGTTGAAATAGCTAGATATAACTGTAAGTTCTATTCTAATAGTTTCTTTTCTCACACTGTGAAAACTCTCTTCTGGCTTCTAGCTTTCCTGTAAACTAGGATCTTCAAAAATTTAAATGCAATATCAATCACAATCTTCTGGCTTTTTAAATTCTGTTCTTTTATTGTCCTTTTGCCTCACTAATGTTTTCTCAATTTCTCTCACTCACAGTAGCCTCTTGTGTCTTAGTGGCTTTATTGCCTTACTGTGGATGAAATGATTAAAAAAAAATATCTTCATATTTATGATTATGTTTAGTATCTAAGTTTTTGTCATGTTTAAACAATGTCTACTTTTCATTAGTGGCACACTTGTCCACAAACACATGAGGCAATGTTTTTGGACTTTTGTTTGATGATGATCCAAACAAGAACATCACAGTATCTATTTTAATTTTAGGAAGATAAAGCCTAACTGAACTCATCTGTTACCACTAATTTCTGTTGAGATTGATGAATGGATTATTACAGATTTCAATTACGATCAGCTCAGAAATCTTTTGTTTCATTGTATCTTATCTCAGTGATTTGAGACATGAGTATGTTTAACTTTGAAAGATATTAATTTAGAGAACCAAGCCAATAAAAGAGGTGTGTGTATGTGTGACTGCAAACCCACATGCCCATTCACGTAGCTAATATTAACTTATTTTTTCTGGTCAGATTAAAATTATAATTATGTTTTGAAAAGAAAACATTTTAAAATTCCTAGCATTTTTGACAACATATTTTGTTCTTATAAATTAATAGGATTCAGTTATCAAAGTATTTTTGTTGGATTTCTCTGACTTGGTGCCACCTTGGATCTAAATTGTGTATTTTCCCCTATAAGAGAATGATTTCAGCTTTGATTTGAGGAATTCTTTAAGGAATTTTGCAACCTGGTGGAACTACTGATCAAACAAAGTGGGGTTGCATAAATGGAAACAAGTAATACTCTAGGGGGGGGGGTAACAAGTCTTTAGAATATATGCAAAGGACTTCCCCTTCTAACTCCATGATCATTTACTATGTTATATTTTCAATTTGAGGACAGGTGTTGTCATGCAGTTGTGTCACTGGTTGATTTCTTTTTGTTCTGGCTGGCTAATTCTTTTACACATTCACATATCGTTTGTATTGTATCTTCTTTCAAAAGTTCCTCCAATTCATCAGTTTTCAATTTCTGAGGTGTCCTTGAGCATTTTTCTCCTTGAGCTGAAAATCTTTTATGACCTTCATAAACCATTCCCAATATATGTGTGTGTATCAACCCCATTATTTCTATAAGTTTCAGTGAGTCATTGCCTCATTTCCTTTGCACCTTTTTCCCCAGATTAAACATAAAGAAAAAACAGTGCGTGAATTTGTATTTTATATTCAGTCTTGTTTTTCACTGAAATAAAGTAAAATTCTCACTTTCCCTGCAAATAAAGTCTATATACACAAGCAATAAAGAGCTGAGTAAACTTCAGAAACATTTCTAAGATTTCTTTAAAACTACAAAATATGAAACTTTCATATTGACCAGATATTTTTCTTATTTTTTTAATTGATCAGTTAGAATATCTTTATTTTAAAATAAAGAACCAAATTTTTAATTTTTATCAAAGACTAGCAGTAGAGCCCGGCGTTGCCCGGGGATATAACAATAAGAGATAGATCAAGTATCCACCATCATAAAGACTGAAAAATAAAATTAACAAAGATTATTGTTTAAGGTTGAAGGACACGCATGTCTTAATTAGTTTTTTTTTTTTTTTTTTTATTTTACGAATTGGTCAAACCCAAACTCAAACAAAAACATTGTTTTCAATCGTTATGAGTCTCCCGATTGAATAGAATAATTTTATAAACAATTGTCTTGTAAATGGAATTTTTAAAGGATTCTGAATGTAAAAATAAAGAAAAAAATGTGCAAGACAATAAGAAACACTACCTGCCAAAAAAAAGTGAAGTTTTGTTGAAATCGGTTGAAAAATGTAGGTAGCCTTTCTCTGTAATCTTTTACAATTTATGATTTTTACTTATTGAATACAGTAAAAAAAATTGCATATTTTGCTTGTGGTGATTCATAATTAGAATTCTGATTTGAATATATTTTCCACTCGTTTCTAATACAAAAAATATTAACTTTATTTGGGTTTATTAATTATGATCTAACAAATCTTATTCATTTAGTAGCCTTTCTGTAATAATAATCTTTTACAATTTATGATTTTTACTTATTGAATACAGTAAAAAAATTGGCCACCATGTGTATTTAAAGTAGTTTCCCGTTCCGGTTATTATTTTTAGTTAGGACTTGTGTATGTTTAGATTTCATTATCTTTCCCTAAAGATAAAGAATTTATCCGATGTTTGTATTCGTACAATCAGTAGAGATCGTTAGATTATTGTTTAAGGTTGACGGACACGCATGTCTTAATTAGTTTTTTTTTTTTTTTTTTTACGAATTGGTCAAACCCAAACTCAAACAAAAACATTGTTTTCAATCGTTATGAGTCTCCCAATTGAATAGAATTTTATTATAAATAATTGTTTTGTTTTATCGGCTGAAAAATATAGGAAATCCGCTCCCATATTTAAAGGAACCCACACACACAAACAACCTGATGTGAGTTGTCCCCCTTCCATTTCCACGATGTCTCTTAATCGTGTTTTCAAAGTGATTTTGTGCAAAAACAATTATATTTTTCCCATTTTTGGCACTGTTAGAACCACAACAAGGTAATTTTATGTAGTCCTGTGAAGTTTTGTTGAAATCGGTTGAAAAATGTAGGAAATCCGATCCAATATATAAACGTTACAGACACACACACACACACACACACACAATCTGTGTTTTATAATAAGTAAGATTTGATGCATTTTTATCACCATCCTCTTATTTGGATCTAATGTCCACACTTGCCAGTTTCAGTCTTACACTATTTTAAATTGTTTAATTCCCTCTCTTATCTCAAATGACTTAAGTATTTCAAATCATATAATTTTCACAACATAATCTGTTGTGAAATCTGAAATTATATTATCTTATTTTCTTCCGAGAGCTTTGTATTAACTTTATTATATTAGGGAGATAGATAACATTGTAAATAAAGTTGTTTTATTACTAAACTGGATGATGTTCATTTTATAAACTACCAAAACAGATATACTCTCAGATATGAAGAATTATCATTATTGATGCTGTTTTGAGCACCTGTGGTAGAATATAAAATCAGCTGGAGAGGGAATTTGCTAAAATATAATGATCAAAACACAAAAAGATGAGAATATTAGTTCAAATAATTCAAGTAATAAATATATACTAGAAAGACCCGTGAAAATTTCATGGTTGTTCTATTTTAATTTTCTGATGAATCTTAATTCTTCAGTTAATGATTGAATAAGCTCATGGCGAGTTCTATGACATTAAAATATCCATAGAAATTCCCCTATTGCATCGTTAAATATTTGAGCGTAACAACTTTAACAAAATATTGCAATAACAATCATAAATATGAATGCTAGTTGTTATTTTAAGAAGTGGATACAAATGAAAAGATTTGAAATAAACAACTTTTTCCATTTCATTGAAACATATGCTAAACACTTCTATCTTCCCTTCTTTCTTGCCAAATCCCTGTCTTAAGAAAATTTCTCTTAATAATTTAAAAATAATTCAGCAGATGATGTTATTTTATTTATGGTAACTGTATTTTTGGTGAATGCCTTTCTGTCGTTCAGCATGGTGTATTTGAAAAAAGGTGCTTTTATTGAAGTTGACAGGGTTTCTCAGCCTTTTGCCTAAGATCAAATTGTTATATCTGTTCTTATCAGCTTAATCTGATTCACTCTCTCTCTCTCCACTTTTATCTTCCCATCTTTTTTTTTCTTTCTTTCATTTTCTGACTGAAACCGAGTAGCGTCTTTTCCATGCGATCAAAACTGAATAGTCCATTGTGAAGTATCAGTAATGCATAGCAATCATGTGAACTAACAAAAGGAATGCCAAGCACAATTATAATAGAATATTCTTTTATACTTTTTTCTTCATCTTCATCATATAATTTACTGTATAGGTCTTATTATAAATCAAAATGTTCTTTTGTAGTTTTTGTGAAATAATGATTTTTTTTTTTTTTAATCCCCAAGCAAGGCAGTAAAGCCACTAAGACACAAAGGAGTTACAGTATGAAAGAATAAGAAAAAGAAGCATTATTAAAAACAATAAAAGAAGAGGAGGACAGAAGATAACGATTGACATCACATTTAAATTTTAAAGCTCAAAGTTGGCTAGAAAGTATGAAAGTTCCACAAGTGAGATGTGCAAAAGTAGAAACTATTAACATAGAACTTATGGTTACATCTAGCCATTTCAGCTATAAATTGATGAGACCTTGTTGCTATTCTAGTACTGCACTTAAATTCATAAAGTCTAGGTACCATAGAGAAAAGTTTATCAGAACCTTTACCATGAAAGTATTTACAGAAAAGGTACAGGGATACTTTATGGCAATGGGAAAGTAACTAAATCCAAGATGCCAGGTCAGGACCAATAACATTGCTGATACTACTTTGGATTTTATCAAGAATCTCTAAATATAGCTGCATTTTTTTTTTTTTTTTTTTGCATACTCAGGTTTATCTTACTATAAAATTCTTATTGTAAATTCATTCCTAATAGAGAAATATATATCCTATAAAAATAAGGGTATGTCCAGGTTATATGTCTCATAATTAGGTTTATACATTCCAGTTTGTTCCAAAAATATATAAGCTATCTGTTGTATAGTGGGTAAAGTTTGGAAAAATGACAAAGGAAAAGAGGCCTAAATAAGAAATTACCAAACGACTTGGTGGTTTAAATCCAACTGCTTTATTTCTCGATGTAAAAGGTAGCATCTTATTTTTAGGGGTTAGTTTTGTGTGTTAGTAATGTTAGTAGCAGCTATATCTACATAGATATCAACATACAAAACTAACCTAACACTATCGGCATTCATTTTTGTGCATGTGTGTCAGTCCTGAAGCATAATGAGTGTTGGTTAATGAAAATATTTTATTATACATGAAATTTAAACCCATAATAAAAATTGAAAACTGTCTCAGATTGAGGCTTGAAAATTATGTTAAGCCTAATCATAAGATAGTAATTCCATTACTGTATAACTTAATATTTTTGTTATTTTTTTTCCAGCAATGACGTGATTATTTCTGATGATAGTGACAGCAATATTTTTGAGCCTTCATTGAAGATTAGGAAGACAACCAGTGGCAAATCTTCTGCCAATACCACCCGCAACAAGCCAGCTCCCAAAAGAAGGGGTCTAACTTTTGATGATTCTGACTGACTTCTCATTTGATATACCATCCTTAAGAAAGTGTGACAAAATTCTTACATCACACATGCATTGGAAGAAATATAATTTTCAAAGGGGAGTTACTACCAAGAATGAATGGATGAATGTGTGTTAGTGCTTATATTCTAAAAAATGCCTATATGAATTGCAATTAATATGGTGTACCTGACATTCAAGAATATAAGGCGTGTAAGGAATTTAGAAGAGAATTTGTGAACCATAAATTAATGGTAAAGAAAAACTCAGATATCATTATCATTAATTTTCAAGTGTTTTTAAGAATTTTAAAAATACATTTACTGGTTATTCAACCATCGTATTGTCTTTCATGAGTTAATGGTTTAAAATTTTCCGCTACTATTTTCACTTTCCTTGACTTATATTACCTGCACAAAACTAAAATTATATTGAAAATGTTGGTATTGTGTAATTCATACAGATTGATTGAAGACAGTTCAATAATCTTTGAGAATAAACATCAGCTGTGAATGTAAATTGATTTTTATGTATGACCATTTTCTAGTTATTGTAAAATTATTTTTGGAACTTTATTTGGATTAACTGCATCATAAGGAGAATATGAAATGACTACATTTAGCAAAGTTTTAAAGTGTTTCTCTAATATGAAGTGTCTTGTACATTAAATATACACTTTGCTTCTTTAATGTACTTACATATGTACTTCTGTATTGGTAGATTTTTGTGGCACATCAACCTTTCTTGCAACTCCTGAATTTGTGATTGTTAGTATTTACTATTTTAAAATTATTGCATTAAAATTGACATGTGTTCTTTATATATCTTCTATTAATTTATAAAGATTGCAACCTGATTTTCAAGAATATACACTTGATTTTTCAAGTTGATGTTTTCTATTAACAGATAAAGGAAAACATTTCAATTATATCAAGAACCCCCTCTTTATTATTACACAATCTAGTTCTTTTCAAATCTGTGATAAGGTATATCTAGCTACAGATATGAGAAACTTCTTCTTTTTTTTTTTTTTTATATATATAACAACATTTTTCCGGGGAGTGGGGATTGAAATACAGATAAAAAATTTTCATATTTCAAAATAATTTCTTTTCTTTTCCTTGCATTGTGGAAAATGTTTGAAATAGACAAAATCTGGTCAATAGTTTGCACAAGTTTCTTTGGGTTTTTTTTTCTCCCTTAAAACCTTGATACCTGATAACAACCATAAAATATTCCAAATGCAACCTAACTAGGATAATGGACAAAATAAATCCTTGAATGTTCACATTTTAATGCATTCCCATTTCTAATGTTGAAAAAGTTGATGTTAAAAATATTTTCACTCCTTTAAGTGCTCTTAAATCCACTCTGAACATGTTCATTTCTGGCTTTAATTACATTTATTCTTCAATGTCAATGTTAGGAATCAAGAATCTAGCTCTTCACACGCCATGTTAACAGCAAGCAATATATTCATATATTTAAAGAAATTTAGTATTTTGGCTTGAGGGTACAGGGTGACATAACAGTTATCTTATGAGAAAATGGAATTGGCAAACAAAGTTCAAATTTCATCTGAGATTATATTCCCTTCAAATTGATGCCCTTGAGAAATGCAAGATTTCACCTTCAAATTGTCTTGATAAACAAAACAGAAAAGAGTGACTGAATGACAACTAGAGTAAAACATTCTCCTAATTAATTTATTGGCCAGATCATTACAATAAATAAATAAATGCTGTTACTTTCATAGTCAACTTTGAGAAAGTTCACTTAGTATATAATTATTTCAAGTTTTCTTGCTGGCTCATTTTGTTATTAGATTCAACTCAGTAAATAAAAATTGTAACACATCAAGATTTCTTTTAAAATCTTTTAAATCAATATTTAAGAAAATGAATTAAAATTATATATCTAGGTGATTAAAAGTTCTTAAACCAACACACTTTCCAGTTGACCACCAAACATCAGAATTTATTTTGAATTTTTTTATTGGTCAGGCCAATACCACCTCTTATATATTAACTTTAAATCATTTATTTCAGAGTTAAAATGATGGATTGTTGAAGTTAGTTAAAACAATATATTATTGATAAAGTATTTTATTTAATTAATCTGGAGGGTTTCTATATTGAAGTGGATGATGAAATATTGTTCTGGTATTTACAAAACTTTCTATAGATATCAATTGGTTTGACATGATTCTGTGAAATTAAAGTGATAAAAGATTTTGAATTGTTTTATTTGGGATTTGTAAGTATTGTAGAAAGTTCATACTTAAAATGTATGGAGATATTTAAACAATTGTTTACAATATTTTGATCTAACCTTCAAATGATAAAGCTCTAATTCTTTTTTTAAATTAAGACATCCAATTTTTTTTTCAGTCATCATCATCAAATATTTCATTGAGGCATATCACATTTCTAAGTAGTATTTAGACTAATTAGCATGTTAATGATCACCACAATAGTACAAAATCGTCTGTAAAAGAACATCTAAGTTAATTTACATTTTCATCATTATTTTCACAAAAATGTCTCTAAACATATGATCATATGCTGTATTGTCATTAAATGAATGAAAACTTTCTTCAAGAATAGGTTTTGACATGTTATCTTTTCTTTAAGAAAGACTGTTAACTTTCAAAAATATCTACAGAAAAAAGTTATAAATATCCATTTGTGTAAAGAAAGCTGTTTTGTCCAGATTTGTACATCTCTCAGTTCAAAATATTAATTCTCATTTGCTTCTGTATCTTTTCCTTTTGACATACTGAATTATTATTGACAGAAATGATGATTCTATCCTGTTCACTGAAAATAATTCTTGATCATTGTTTATCAAAAAGAAAAATATTTTTAATAAAATCAGATTGTTTATAACAGATCTTGTTTTGTTATAATTCATTTACTAAGTTAACTGTATAACATTGCCGTATAAGAAACCAATGTCAAAATTGTCTCTCATGCTGTTGTTTTAATATGTAAATTCTTAATAGTATATATTTTAAAAGATAACTGTCTGATGTGCCAAAAGTTATGGGATGGTATAATTAATGATTCTCTCTGGCCTGCTGAAGTGCAGCAAATTGACAAGACATTGATTCTACAAGTGATCGAAAGACCCCTAGAGAAATGTTGAGCTGTGCCACCTGAGCTCCTTGATATTTTTAGGTATAGGATTTTGCATGCAAATAGAGCTCTCCACCATATCACATAAATGCTCAATTGGGCTCAAGTTGTGTGAACATGATGGCCATACCATTCATTGGAAGTCTCTAGAATGCTCCTCAAACCAATTCTGTGCAACAGATGACATGGTATATTATCCAACTGAAATAAATAAACTATAAATGGGTTCAAATGGTCATGAAGCAGTACATTATAACAGTCACCAGTTGATGAAATATTTCAGGAAACCAGTGCACCCAACCCATTCCTGCTCCTATATCCCATGTTAACTAAATGACACCGAACTGACCTGTTGGGTATATGCATCTGGTACCACTTGTACTGAATGTGGATGTAATTCGAGTCAGTGTTACGAGTTTGTTACCACAGACATTCTAGCCAGATGTTTATGGTTAGTTGTGATCATTAAGGGCTCATAGTCAATTACTGTGCTGTTCATGTTGACATAAATTACACACACACATGGTGCAATGGATAAATTGTTGTCTAAATTACACAAAAATGGCCTCATTTTAACAGATATATTTACCAAAATAACACAAAAATATCTTGAAATACTAAAGAGTAAATTTATTCAATAAAATTGCCACTGGCTTCAACCATTGCCTCCAGACAACTTTGGAATCTTCTGCAACTCTTCTGGACAGTCTCCTTGTTCAACTTGGTGAATGTTGCCATAATCATGTTGGTGTTACAAAGAATTTTGTTGGTATCTCATTCAACTGCGCTCCACACATAATAATCAAGGGGGTTGCAGTCTGGAGAGTTAGGTAGCCAGATGTAAGGGGTGATGTGATTGCAGAAATTGTCTGACAGCCATGACTGGGTTCTCCTACTTGTGTAGTATGGTGCAGAGTCCTTTTGCCAAACATCGGGTCTTCCAGCAGCCACCCACTTGACCCAGGGCAGCATTACCTCCTTAAGGCACTTGATGTAGGCCTCTGTGTTGAGTCTTATCAAAATGAACAGAGTGAGTTTTCTGAGCTGCCATACCTTCATAATCAACATTAGACTCATCCAACTCTTTCCAAATCCTCTGCACTATCCTCAAATTGACACCCAAACTCTGAAATGTTTGTATTGGAGCTTCTGGTGTGAATGCCAAGCAGTACAGCATGCCGTTTCCAAATTTCTGGTGGAGTGAATTGTGTCATGATGCTCTTTTCCTCATAGACAGTGCCCAACTGACTATACCGTACAGTAGACAAAATCAAAAACAATCAATGTATATGTGTGAAATTAAAAATATAAAATGACGACAATTTACCCATCACACCCTGTACATATATATATGTGATGTGTGTGTGTGTATGTATTTATGTAATATAATAGAATTAATATAAATATAAAATTTTTCACTTAGCTGATTGATGTTACCTTCAGCATCCTGACTCCGGAGTTTTGTAGACGGACTATCCAAAAATCACTCTTGTTCAGTCATGAGGGGGTGTAATATATATATATATGTGTGTGTGTATATATATATATAATATAGTATGTTTGCCTTAGAGAGCCCACGTGTAGTGGTTGATGCAGTTATTTACTAACCTTAGTTTGGTACAAAGTTACAGTGCTAGAACACCCAATGAGAACTAAATTCATGTTACCTAATCAAACTACATTGTAAATTTTCATTAACAGGTATTTGTAAAATTTAGCTTAGTCTGGCACAGGGTGTCATCATTGATACATTATCCGGTCTAGAACAAACTTGTATTTGTAGCTACAAAAACCTGTGTTCACTATTATTCTACAAATGTTACCAAATTCGATCACTACTATTAATGTGTTTGATTAGTATGAAAGTTAAAAAGAAAT